TTACAAATATTACAAATGTACATCCATTGGTACAATATTGCCATTCAATCATGCTTTTTTATGTACAAACCTTCACTGAAGAATACTGTTCATTAAGTTTATTTTGCTTAAAAAATGCTGAAAATTAGCAGAAAGTTAACTGGGCACTGCTGGGAAAGTTGTTTTTTTGTTTTTTGTTTTTAACTGATGCATACACCGCAGAGTGATAGAAATCTAGTGCCTGTGTGAAAAGAGGCCCTAGAATCCAGGTCTTGTATCTTTATCTTCCGACTTTGACTTTGCAATACTGCGTTGGGAAGTAAGGTCTTTCTCCAGGGTTTGCTACTGTTTGCTGTTCCCTGCAGGAGTGGTATTATCTGGTCTAAATTTCTGGAGATGTGGCCATTAGGCCTCTTTTGGTGAAGGTCAGACCGAGTGGACATGCTCCAGGAGTCCAGGAAAGAACTCCTGTAAATCCCTCGGAACAAGAAGCCACATGGGGCTCCTCCCTAATCCTGAGCGTCTGGCTGGGTCACAGATCAGCAGAGTGGAGCTCAGGGGAAATGTGTGCCTGAGACTTGAGTCTCAGGGAGTCAGAGGTTTTTGGATAGGAAAGGACAGGCAATGACAAAGGGAACAGGAAGGGGAGGGGAGGAAAATATGAGAAAGAAAATCAGAGAGGCAGCGTTGGTGAGAGAAACAGCAGACAGTGGTGAGGATGATCACATCTCTGACCGGTTTCCCAGAACCGTGAGGGGCTGCATTGCTCTGCAGCCTGCATTTCCGGTCTCCGTGCGTCTGCCTCCTCCTCATCCTTCATCCTTTATCTGATTCAGACTTTGTATGAGACGTTTGACAGAAGCCAACAGTAATCCCAGCGTCCCCAGAAACAGCAGTGGCCCAGGCTGCGATGGGTCAGGACCACGGACAGCGGCAAGCGTACCCTTGCTCTGCACTTTGTCCCGCCCCTCAGCCCTGTCCCCATGTCACCCCATGACTGTTTCATGACTGTGCCTGGAGAAACAAAATGTCAGCAAGACCTCAGAGGGGCCTTGTCCCAGCTAATTGCTGCCTGATGGTGTTACAGCCCTTCCTGAAACACAGCTCCTAATTTTTCACTCCACCCATGAACTCAAGAGCTCGGAGCTGGGAATGTGCAGGTTGTGGGCTCTCGGCCTCCTGGAAGGAATGACAGCTCTGTGGACTCTGCTCAGGAGGGCGGTGGGGAAACCAGCGCAGGTACGTCCGGTTTGCTGAGTCCATGGGACTTCTGCCAGGTGGTCATAGCCGTCTGTGCTAGGGCACAGAAAGACTGTCCCTAACTTCTCTTTGGTCTCTATGAGAAAGTGATGTTTATTGTCTTCTGGGCCAATTGGACAGATGATTTTGTTAGAATGGCTTCTTTAAAAGTGGGTGTAGAATTTCCCCTAAATTAAAAATGTCTAAGTTTTAAATGTCTCTTAAAAATTTTTAAACAAGATATATAGGTGCATCTTAAAATTTATAATCTAAAAATAGGATTTCATTAAAATACTCTAACTCTTCTATTCTGGGCATTGATATACCTGTATTTACTGTTTATGGCTCTCCAGATGTGGTAAACAGTAAACTAAAAGAAAAAACTTTAACTTTATTGATAAGAACAGCTTCCTATGAAAAGGAAATTACGTGGGAAAATGTAATGAACAATGTTTGCTTGAAAAGTAACACAACTGGATGTGTCTGGGGACCAAGACTCGGCACAAAGCCAGTGGTGGCTGGAGGGATAGATATACAGACTCAGAGAACCACAGGAATGAAAACAAACCATAGTCACAGACCTGCAAATCCTTTCCTTGGCAAAAACCAAAACCAAAGAAATCCTGAATCCAACAATGTGCTGTCACACGTAGTTGTGAAACGCTGATGGAGCTGAACAGGCAGAGGCATGTGACCGTGTGACCTCCTCCCGCCGAGTCCTGCAAAAGGCTTGCAGAGGATCAGATACTGACTTTTTGGCTAAGAACCAGGCAGGAAAGTTTCCACGGCTTATCTCCCCAACAGGAAAGCAACACCTGCTTTAGAGGCAGATAGGATGGTGCTGATTTGATTTGGAGTTTCGTATTAGGGCTAAGAAATATAAATACAGAACATTGGAAGGTTGAGAACAAAGGACTCGGAGCCACCAGGTGGTACAGGATGGTGATTCCCAGGCAAATTCAGATGGGCAGTGGGGGCAGTTGGGGTAACCTGGACTCCTGGGGAGACCCTGATTTTATGTCTGTCTGTCTTCCTTTTGTTTTGCTCATCACATTTTCAGGGTGACTAGAAGTGGCACCCACCTACTCCTGTTTTGTCCTCCTTATGGAAACCTCAGGTGGTCAGGTGTATGTAGGCTCCTCTCAAGATTCTCATTCATCAAATTTTCTAATTCATCAAATGCAGGGTAGACCTGACCTAACACAGTGTTGGCATGTCCTGTTGGACTTTGACACAGAGAACAAAGTCCTCAGGCTTCCCCTACTAGACTTTCTGTCTCTGAGCGGACAACTTGTCCCTCCAGCCACATCAGACGCTTTTGTGTGGGACCCTGAGCCTGGGCTCTCGGAGAGGGAGCCTTCCGGTTGGCTCAGCTCTCCTCCCTCGGCTGCCCCTTCTGTGCCCACAGCCTGTGAGCGTCTCCTCCTCCCCCCGCTCCTATCCATTTCCCCCTCACTGGACAGGCGCCTCTGTGGCAGAGAGCCAGGCTCTAGGAGAGTTCCTGCTCCACTGGAACCTCCTCCCTGGAGACCTTCTCTGTAGAGCCTGCTCTCTCCTTCCGAAGAGACCCTGCTGACCTAGCAGGCGAATCTGGATGTTGGTGCTAAGTGGGTATAGCGGCGTTCATGTGTGGCTTTCTCCAGAAGCAGACGTTCATATTTTAGTGACGTCTGGGTTGTTTTTGGAGAGCAAGCGCCATAGACAAAATGACTTGTGACTGAACAGGTGCAGTTCAGGAGTTGTGGGTGTGTTCGTTGTGGGGTGGAGAGTGCCATCGGGTCCCTGGAATCAGACCGTATAGGGAGGGGGGCCCTGTGCCCGATGGAAGGCAGGTCCATCCCCCACCTCCCCGTGGTGGTCAGCACTGCCGCCACTGCTCACTCCTCACAGTAGGAGGGAGCGTGATTCGGAGCAGGTCGTGTAAAGCGTAGGACGCCTCCCCAGGCGGCAGCTCGGAATGCTAGCAAGCCCAGGTTCTGGACATAGACTCCAGCCCGCTGCTTTCAAAGCCCACTCCGGGTATTGGCAGTGGAGGGTCGAAGTCACGAATCAGCTCTCAAGGTGTTTGGTTCTCTAAGCCGCATCCTAATGACATAGCAGATGATCAGAAACTAATATAAATGGGCAGTTTCATCATGGCTTTTTTTTTACCGAGTTAAGATTTTATTTCCATTTTTATAAAAGATTGTAACAATACAATCCTATTTGCAAAACATTTTCATATCTTTTGAAACTTTATCTTGAAGAAGTTGTCTACTCTAGTGCCGTTTTCCTTTCTAAAAGAGGGATAAATTTGTTGTCATATGAAATCCCAGAAAAAGCTTCTATTTCCATACTAATGCCTCTACTTATCTTGTAACAAATATCTACAATTCAATTTGTTTCATTTTTGCCTCATCCGTATGATATCCGTAATTTGTACCTGAATATAGACAACCTGACGTTACGCTCGCGCTTCCTGGGTTAAGTGGGAGCCTGTGTTCTTAGGATGTACCCCCAGGGGGTCAGCACCTGGGATTTTACCTGGGATACCAGAGCTGGCTACTGCTAAGCTTTGCTAATTAGCACAATGAATGCAGATATGGCGCTTGTAATTGGAGAAACTAGAGACCTATTAACTAGCATGAAGGGTGTTAGAAATGAGTTCTCAAATGATCCCAGTAGAAGTTAGAGGTGTATGGACTGACTGCAGGTACATTAGAGGGGCACCAGGGCTGTGGTCCTGCCCCTCAGTCTTAGGATGGTGCCCTGGGCCTGCATCCAGCTGGGCACAGGAGGGTTGCGTCGTCTGATGCCCGCTCTGGAGGGTATAGAATCCTGCCTCCTGCATTTGTGTAGCTGCTTTAAGTGAATTTTTCTGTCATGAAAGATGTTGCTGTGGAACCTAAAGGAACAGAGAGTTGGTGGGTGCTCAAGCCCAGAGTCTGGATTGTTTGGGATGTTTTATGGGCTTGCTTTTTACGAACAACTTAGTTCCTAGGTCAGAGTTGGTCTAGGATGGGGTTCTCACATTACCTGGTGGGAGGTTATGGAGGGCTATCTACTCTTATACAGCTGAAGCTTCATTATCAGCCAGACACACTGGACAAAGCGGGCACAGGACAGAGCCTGCGACACTCGGTTCCTGGGAGACCAGGGTAGTTTTGTCGTGTCCGGTTCCTGCGCTCTGCAGCAGTGGTCTCATTTCTCTGGTCCTGTTGTAGGGGTTCTTTAAGATTGTGCATGCCCAGTGCTTTTCGAAGGGGACGGAGTAAAACACTAAATAAATCATGAAAATGAGAGGGCTTTCTTACTGGATTCTTTGGGGAGGAGCCCATGGCTTTTCGCATTGCTTGTGGCTTTTCTGGAAGTATCTGTAACCTTGTGCTAGTGAGAACCAAGTGCACTGCTCGAGAGGCGCGTCAGGGAAGGGAGACGCAGGGAACGGTGCCTGAGGTTTATTTCTAACTGGCGATGCCTCCGTACCAGCTCTCAGGGCTGCAGCTCAGACCCTCCCGCCTGCATAGTCACGCTCCCTCTGGCACACTAAGAAGAGAGAACCGCTGCACTGGTTCCCATAGGCGTGGTGGGTGTGCGTGGCCCCCGCAACCTGGGAGTAGCCATCTGCAAGCAGCACGTTCCTAGTTCAAGTCTAGTTGCTCGTCCGAACGTCGCACACGCGTGTGTTCTGGAACACCAAAGGAAAATGAATGCACGGACCCGACCAGCACAGTCCTGTTGCTCCTCACGCCTACCCGGCCTCCTCAGGCATCTCACTCTGTCCGACAGCCTGGGGCAGCAGCTCATAGAGTGAGTAGGAACTGGTCCTGCTCAGGTGGCTTCCTCACCCAGGTGCCCAGGCCTGCCTTTTGAAACACTTTGAACAGCTGTTGCTTAACTGACTGGTAGGTGCGCGCCCCAAGCTTGGCCTCACAGTACATGGACGGCGTGTCTCCGTGGCTTGGTATCCGTGTGCTCAGCTGTGGGACAGGAGTGAGAGAGGACAGTGAGCCAGGAGCAGAGGCGCCCCCCCCACCCAGGCGAACCGATCAGCCACAGGAGTGTTACAAGCAAACATTAGCTCCTGGCTCCGGCTCCTGATTTTCCTCTAAAACAGAAAAGCAACATGAGACAGAGCAATAGTGGACTTGAAATTTGCTAAGAGGGTTGATCTTGGATTAAGTCTTTTCAGTGCATGCGTGTGTGCACACACACACACTCACCCACACTTACAAATAGTAACTGCGTGGAGGTGATAGATGTGTTAGCTCCATTGTGGCGGTCATTTCACGTATATCTGCTTCAAAATATCAGGTCGTACACCTTAAGAGGTGTGGGCCAAAGTAGGTTTACAGTTTGTATGAACAACAATACAATAATTAATAAATAATAATGCAAGAATAAACTGTGTTTTGCATACTCACAGCTGCAAACCTACTTTTGCCTCACCCTGTATGCAATTTCATGTAAATTATACCTCAAAATGCTGTCAAAAATAGAATACCCATTCTCCCTAAGTCAACCTATTGATAAAGTAAAATAGCACATAAAATTTCGAAACAATATCTGTATTAGTTACAGTTAATTATTAATTCTAAAAATAACCATTAGAATTATCAGGCAATTCTATAATTCTATGAAAAACCCACTCGTGAGGGAAACTGCTTCACCAGAAGTGTGAATGATTAAGGAATAAAATGAACATGTAACTTGCCTGCTATTACATTAACAAGCACTGCAGGTGTTTTTCTTTTTGGAGGAGGATTAGGGGCTTAGATTGGGGTGGGGGTGTGGGTGCCTGGGATGACTGTGGGAACTGAAGCAGCATGGTGGAGGCGGGACCCTGGAGGGCGCTGAGTTATAGTCTAACCGCAGGAGGACAGGGAAACTGGATGTTTTCTCTGTCCTGAGCTGTGCAGCCAACATAGGCAGGGACCCAGCAGGGCCTGACTGCCCCACACAGTGGGGAGGTTGGGGTGTGGAAGAGAAGGTGAGAGGTGGGAAGTCTTCCAATCCCTCTGCAGGCTTCCTGGGAGTAGGGAGCAGCCCCCGCCCCCCACTTGTGGCCATCATCACCTAGAGCCAGTGCAGAACAGGCCCCTTTGTATAGCAAGACAAAATGGATGGTGTGCTCTGACCTTCCAGAGATTCCACCCAGACCCAACAGTGGGCGGGCGGGAAGTGTGCCAAGTGCCCAGGACAGGCAGGAAAGGAGGCCAGGCTGCAAGCCAGAGCAGACCGGGTTCCCGCCCGCCCGCGGCGTCCTTGGGTCACTACCTGCCAGGCTACCAGCCGAGACCTGCAGTTCCCGGTGCCCTCTGAGAGCACACAGTGTTCACTGTGAGCACCAGCAGGTCTGTCCTATTCTTCTCTTGGCTGGTAAGTCAACACAACACTCATCTTTCCTGGATAGGAGAGTGGGAAAACCAGCACAATGGTTTTAATTTATTTCTTTGTTTTTCTGTTTTCTTTTTTCCCTTACAATCTGTTATGCTTTGGAAACACATGGAAATGCACACAATTTAGGGCCCAGACATGTTGTCATCACCCTATTTACAGGGGAGAGCAAGCTCAGAACTGGTGTGGTAGACATGCACAGCTCTGGGCTTGGAGAGGAGAGACAAGCACTCTCTGACCCTCTACCTGTGCAATCGGGAAACCACCTACCCCTCTGACGGTCAGTGTCCCGATACCTAAACTGGGAATAACATCCACCTGAAAAGCCTTCTGTGGACGTGCCTGTGGTGCCCTGTGCTGGCCACACCAGGTGTCAGAGTCGGTCCTTTTCCCTCCTGACTCCTGGAGCCACCCGTCTGGCCCAGCTTGGGGAGTTGGGGGAAAGAATACAGTGTCATGTGTTCCCTGGCTGCCGACCCAATGGCACTCTTGGGGCCCCCAGCCCGAGTCCAGGTTGAAGCCCTAGGCCGACTGTGCCCGGCTTCCCCGACGAGGGTCACCTACCTTTCCGTACAGCCTGGCCCACCGCGCGGAGAGCACGTGCTTGCAGAGCCGGGACGAGCCGCCGCAGCTCCGCTTCCCGGTGGTGGCGTCCAGAACCTCCACGTCCGGGTTGCCCAGGACCCAGTTCACACTGAAGTGGGAAGACTTTCCGGGCTGCCGCGCCTCGGCGCTGCTCACGCCTGTTGGAGAGGGGAGGGGGCCCGCGTCAGCTCCGGCTGCGGCTGCCTCCGACCCTGGCGGCTGCCTCCGGCCCCGGCTGCCTCGGCCCCGGGCAGCGGGAGCTGTGTGCGCCTGCGCAGGCCGCCCGTTCTCACGGCCCCACTTCCCTTCAGCCTGCGCTAATGGAGGCCTTGCAGCCACGGTCATTGCTGGAGCTCATTTTTTACTTTTTAATTTTAAGAGATTATTATTGTAAGGTAGTCCAGTAACGAAGACGCTCTGCCCATGTCCCCTTCCTATAAAGATGTGTTGACGGATTAATGAGCGATGGAGCCAGGTGGAGGCTGCCTGGGTACGAGTGTTCACCGGGCACCTGATGCACGCCCCACTCTGCTCAGTACCAGTCGGGCCCTGAGGTTCCGAGTTGGGTCAGGAGATAGAGACGCTAATGAAGACAAGACGCCCTAAGAGTGCAGCCTAAGTCATCAGTGGCATGACCCAGCGACAGCACCAGGACAGCACCAGCTATGGCATTTGCAAGACCCAGTGCAGATGAAAAAGCGGCCTGCATTTGATACTTGTGAGAATTTCAGGACAAGAGGGCATAAAAGCAACTGCAGTCCTTCTAAGCATGGCCCCTGTGCATCGTCAGCGTGGGTCCCCTGCCCTGAGGCTGGTCCTGTCCGGAGAGCCTCCAGAATCGGCAGGAAGTCCTTCTTTACACTGATTTCTACTTGGGGTGACATGTTCCTTTTAGTGGCCACACTTGATAGCATCTAACCTTGTTCGGCCTCCATCCTGTCCACGCCCACAGGCTCCTCATGGCCATTCAGAGACACTGGTGGTGAGATGCCTGGGCCGATGTGAGCCCTGGTGGCACCTCGCCAGCCTTTCCCAGCAACTCCCTGAGGATTCTACAAACACGCTCGATTCTGGCCCTGCTCGGCCCGCCCAGCGGTCCTCTTCCCGATGGGTCATGTGTAAGACTGGTGCCCGAGGGACAGAGCTGGCTGCTTCGGCGCATTGCACTATGCCGCCACGTGACTGCTCAGGGGTCAGTGCCAGCATGGTGGGGGAGTCTGGGTGGCCCCCGGGGCCTGCAGCAGGCACCCCGGGGAAGGGACCCTGTGCCCAGGGACAGCCAGCACATGCGCAGTGCTTTCTGTGCAGCTCCAAACCGCAAAACTATGGACCCCAGGGCCCTCCCACTGCCCCCACTGTCCAGGGGCCTCTTGGGCAGAGCAACGTGCACCCTCTTCTCAGGAACCACCCAAGTTTGCTGTCTGCACCTGCACAGCCTGGCTCCAGACCAAAACCATCCAGTGACCTTCTCCTGGTCACAGATGAGCAGTGCTGGGCATCCAGGCTAATTCCATCCATGTCAGCTTCTTTCTTTCCCTTGAAGTGATTCCCCGTGGCAGCCACTCATGCCGAGAGCTGGGAAGGGGGACAATCTGGCATGTTGGCAGCAGAGCCCATCCTACTGGGCAGCAGGAGGCAGCGGCTGAGGTCAGGGGTGACCAGCTACAGAGAGAGGTCAGCACTGCTCCAGAGAGGTACACATACAGCCAGGCACAGCCACCCCAGGACCTGTACTGCCCTCCCCCGCCCTCCTCCTCCCCTCCCACTTCCCACCCTCCTCTTCCTTTGATCTTCTGGTCTCCACAGAAGTCTTCGCGACCAGAGTGGGGAGCCGTGGTGCTGTAGGAATCCAGAAACCTAGTTCCAGTGCCGACTCTGCTCCTAATTTCCTCTGGGCCTTCACCATTCTTTTCCTTACTGTGCCTTCAGACAGCGACAACTTCTGGTTGAAGGTCAAACAGGCCACATAGTAGAACTTGTGACAGTGTCCAGTGCTGTGGTTTTTGTTATTTTCATTTGAAGGGATGAAGGTTAACTTTGGTTTGTTTAATGATCTCCACCTCATAGATAAAAAAATGTTCCCAGTTAGCCCTGGCTGGTTTGGCTCAGCAGTTAGAGCATTGGCCTGCGGACCAATGAATTGCGTGTTCAATTCTGGTCAAAGGCATGTACCTTGGTTGTGGTTTGTCCCTGGCCCCAGTAGGGGTCGTGCGGGAGGCAACCAGTCGATGTGTCCCTCTCACGCTGATGTTTCTCTGTCTCTCTCTTTCTCCTTCCCTCCCACTCTCTGAAGATAAATAGAAAAATAACCTCGGGTGAGGATTAAAAAATGAGTTCCTGGTTAGACTACAGGGACTTCCCCAGTTTTGTTACAGCTGGGGAGACCTGCTCACCAAAATGGGCTCAGGGAGTGGAGTGACTATCCCACAAATAAGGGCCAGAGGTCCTTTCAGCATGTTTTGTTTCATTTGCTGGTTCTTCAGTGGGTTCCTCTGTTAGAGATGTTATTGTCTGTCTTACACTTTGAACTTCTAGTTTAAGGATGACCTCTCCTCTCTGTCTTTTGCTTACAAGGACAAATTTCTGAAGCAACCTGACTTCCTCCCTCCCTGCTTCCCACCCTCTTCCTTTCTTCCTCAACCCTGTACTGACAGCACCTTGAATGTTTACTAAATATTCATGCCAGTGCTACAGTGTCTGATGTCCCTGTCACTAGTGACTCTCGCTGACTACACCCAACGAGATCCATTCAGCTGTGCCAGACTCAGCTGACTCTAACACGCAAATGTGCCGATACACTAGGAAACAATTCTCTCAGAATGTTCACGTCAGTGTAGATGATACATTCCCTTCCGTAGGGAAACCCGAGTGGCTAGACCCCCATGCAGCCAGGAGGCAGTCTCTCCATCACGGGACAACTGGAGACTTCACTCCCCAGCATCGACCAAGCTGTCTCTTTCCCCAAGAGCAACGAAGCTGACCTCTCTCTTTCTCGGTCTCTCTCCCTTTCCCTCTCTCTCTCTCTAACTTTGTCTCTCTCCCCATCTCCCTTAGCCTCTCTCCTATAAGGACACTTGTGAAGGTAGGTAGGACCCAGTGACATAACCCAGGATAATCTCATCTCAAAGTCCTTAACTGCGTCCTATCTGCAAAGACCTTTTTTCCCAATAAGGCAGTCTACAGGTGGGGTGGCCATGATCCTGCCCGTGACCAGCACTAATTGTGGATTTTGGTCTGTGAACCAAGTGAGAACACTTTCTGGGGAATGAGTGCCCTGGCCCTTTGGCCCCAGTTCTGGCAGGAGAACTGGATTGGAGGTGCGAAGGGTCTCAGCTGCTCCCAGCCACGTCTGATTTCCCTGTTCTCTGAGCCTGTGACTGGTGGGAAGCTCAGAGCAGCTCCCTCTCGGGACGAATGGCTGGTGAGAATGGCGTGAGCCGGCATCCCCACTGGGCACATGTGGTCAGCCTCAGTCAGGACTTGGCTTTGGAAACTTGGTGAGGAAGTCCAAGAAAGAGTGAGAGAACAGAGGTGACCTGAAAGGGGGTGTAACCTGGCGAAGGACAGACTAGCAGTCTTTCCGTTAGTGATTTCTTAGCATCTTGGAAAGAATTACTACCTGCTGAACAGTCTCTGCGTCAGAGTGACCTCTCGCAGGGACAGTGCTGGTAAGCATCTGTGGAACCGGATACAGGCTCGGAGATAGCTGAACTCAATTTGTTCTTACGCACACGCGTTATCCAACATTTGTGAACCGGAGAGAGAAATATTTCATGTTAAAGTACATCTGTATGAGAATAAGCAAGTCTCCACCAGCCTTCGACACAAATTCCCGCCCAGTGGACTAATTCATGAAGGCGGTCGGCGCACAGGACTGTGTCACTAGGATGGCTGTGGAAACAGACATGTCCAGATAGCACTTCCATGGCTTACTAGCAGCGTGGCCTCTGATAGTTCATTAACCCACTGACTACCGTGGTTACCGCCATCCCACCACAACTTCACCTTCCACTGCTGTCACCATGACCTCTCCCGCCCCCACCACTATTTAAGAGCAGTGAGCGTGAACCGGCGATTCAGCCATGGAAATGAATCTCATTGCTCATGCGGCTATCAGAAGGTGCCTTACCTTGAGAAAACCCTACATGCCATTTAAAGGCAATGTGTAAGAGAGGCATGACTGGATTTCTTTAAATAGCTACTGGATCTACTATATTTAAAATGTAATTCACTTTCCCCAAATTAAATTTACACAGGACATGCAGGGAATGGTTTTTACGCGAAGCAAGGCCAGTCTGTATTACGGGCGGCACTGTGTGCAATCTGTGAACCGAGTGAAGCAGCCTCTGGGCGTGCACAGAATCACAGGGGCAGGACAGACGGGGCCCCCTGAGTTATATATATGGCCAGATGCCTGTGGGATCTCATGGGCACACACGCACACACACACATTGCACATGCATGCACACAGATACGCACTGGCACTCACATCATACACACACACCACACACACACATGCATGCAAACACCACACACATACATGCACACATATACACATACGAGCACATGCCCATACAAACACTCCATTCACACCCATGCATACACACCACATGTGTGTAGGCATACACCACATATGTGCATGCACACACATATTCATACAAGCACATGCACACAGAAGCACACCACTCACCCCCATCACACACATGCACACACACAAACACACCTATCACACAATGCACACATGCATGTGCACACATGTCACACACAGGTACAAACACATATACACATGCACATAACAACCACCCCTCACTCTACACATACCTACTTCTGATGGAAGTAAGCTAGTAACACTTCAATGTGGCCTTACAGATTAACATAACTAACTACTAAGACGATTAATGTCATGTTATACTTTTTCTTTAGCGTGCACACCATTACAATGGATAGTGATTTTGTAGCTACTATCTTGTCTCAATAGAGCACATTCTGGGGAAAGTATGCGGGATGCAGTGGATTCTGAAGATGGTGCGTGAGGAGAACGGAGGGTGCACGTGAGATTTTCCTGCCGAGATATTGGTGACAGGTCCTCTGGGTTCCTGCCAGCCACAGGGGAGCACATTACAGGTTTCCCCTCATCTACCAGGCTGGGGAGCCAGTG